TGAGACCTCTGCAGTAAGGGTCTTCTTGGGTAAGACCTTGTAGCATGGCTGGGGCTTAGAGCCTGTCAGGGAGGCTGGCTGAGTTAGCATTTGCACGCAGGGCTTTGATTCTGAGCCATGCTTGGCTCTTTCAGAGAGCCACATGCAAATTCTCTCTAAAGTACCATTTTCCCCAGACATAATAGAGAACTATTGTTGGGGGCCGTGAGCCTGGGGTTCTGTGATAATAGCATTTTCACGAAGAAAAATCACATCCCCATCATTTGCACAGTTGAGAACATGAAACCTACTATTGAGACATTCTGGTTAAAATGAAGCATTATCTGGTAAGATGGGCCTTCCTGTGGGGGTCTGTGGGAAGGCAGGTGAGCAGGGGTCTGCAGGTACTATTGGAAATGAGTTGGTAGAAACCATTTGTCCATCAAAAGATGATTAAATGCAATCATAGCTCTGCCTGGAAGGCCTGGCCTTGCCTAAGTGGGAGGCAAAAGTGGGTAATTCACCATCATCAAAAAAGGACAGGAGAATGGTGAGGGGTGAGGAATAAAGCAAGAGGAAGGAAATAGGATTCATGAAGTTTGGACGGAGGTGCCAACTAAGGGGAACAGCCAGCTTCTGGAGTTCCTTTGAGGGGCTTAACGAGGGGTGATGTCATCTGTAGGCAACAGTGAATTGTTAGTGTGATTGTATTATTGAATATGGGTGTCACCTGAGTCAGGAGCCAAGAACCGGGAAGACAGCTGCTGGCAGAGGGGCCAGGGATGAAAGGCTTAGAGAGAGACCACTGCGTTCTCTGTCCTTGGACAAAGGTGGGGGCAAGGGAGGCCCGTTGCACGCCCTCTTTCCATCCCCACTGCACTAACAGTGTTATCTTGAGGACTAGTAGATATCCTCAGGTGAAGAGAGAATAGTGTAGCCAGTGGTTCCTGCCTCTGAGACTGATGTGTGGATCTTAGAGACCTGAAAAGCTGGGAACCACCTCCCGACCATGTAAGGCACTAACCGCACCTCAGGTGTGGGAAGGTGGCTTCTGGATTCCCGAAGCCTACTGCCTGGTTCCAAAGTACGGACAAGTGTCGGAACCACTGTGGCTCCCGCTGTGCTGTCCACCCTGCTTCTCTGATAGTCAGCAAGGCTGGGCTGGCCATCTTCTTCTCTCCTCTGATCCTCAGTTTTCCCATCTTCTAGCCTCTCCTCTCAGATGACTGGGTTTGATTTCATGTTATTTCATTCTTAACTTCTTCAGTATAAATCTAAAGAGTAAGAAAAGTAACATTATCACCATACACACACACACACACACACACACACACAATCAAGCAGTGATTTATTTTATCTGGTGGTTTGTTTTTGAGATCCAGGTTTTTAGACTCTTATTTCTCTTCCTTGTCTTTAATTTATTCCAAATGGAGAAATGATGTCCTCCCACCCCCTGCCATAATTTTGAGGTGAGGGAGTTGGTGAAACCCATTTGTCAGGCTGGGTGAGGAAGTCCTTTTTGCTGTCTACTCTTGTGGGTGAGGGACAGTCACAAAGGCATATAAGTTAACGGCTTTCAGTGACTGTTGGCAGTGGGGCCAGGGGACGCCTGTGTGACCAGGTACTGAAGTAAGTTCTGGGAGATGAGATCTGTCTTTATCCCTATAATTATCTACATATCCCATGGTGGAGACTCAGGAAATGTTTAGCTGGGCTTGGTGGCTCACTGGCTCCTTTGTATTCAGCCCAGGATCCTAGCCCACAGCAGGAGTCACTCACCTTCACGTTGGAACTTCCACCTCAGTGAAGCCTATCTGGAGACACTGTTGCATAGATGTTTTTATGTGTTTCCATGGTGATTCTAAATCCTACCCATTTGACAAGCAGGATAAACATCATAGCCACTTCCATCCTTTTCCTGAGGGGCATGGCCTGCCAGTCCCTTTGATCATTATAATCATGCTGGCACACAGTTTCACAGCTCAGGCCCACACGACGGGCCCCAGGGCAGGTCCAATACCCATTTTCAAATTCCATATTATGTAGTGAAAACTACTTAAAGCATTCATAGATCCTCAGTGTCCAGAGTGGAGTAAGACCACGACCACGATCGGATATAGAAATTGAATGGATTTAGCAGTGGTCTTGGTAAACTCTGAAAGATCAAGACAGAACAGTGGCCCAAAGCACACTGTAACTGAAATGATGAGGAGGCGGGACGTGGGAGTGTGTTGGCAGAGAGAATGAACTCACGGATTTCAGGGAGAGGTGCCGTGAAGATGGGGAAGACCAGCCCCAGAGCTACCATGTCTGGCCTGTCTGCCTTTATGCCCATTCCCTGTGTACTTCATACTCGCTCTCGTCATCCACCGTGTCCTGAGGGAACCTGTTTAGTTCATCTTTACAAACAAGGCGGAGTGTCTAAACCAGTGGTCTTCAACCTCCCTACTGCTGCAACCCTTCAATACAGTTCCTCATGTTGTGGTGACCCCCAACCATAAAATTATTTTTGTTGCCACCTCATAACTGTGATTGTGCTACCATTATGAGCCCTAATATAACTATCTGAGTTTTCTGATTGGCGTGGGCATCCCGTCTGAAAGGATTGTTTAACCCCAAGGTTGCAGCCCGCAGGTTGAGAACTACGGATCTAAGAAATCACTGATTCATAGACTGAGGGATGTGAAGAGATCTGCAGAAGGGCCTCTCTTGACCTCACCTCACTGGACCACTTAACATTTCAGGCGAAGGAGCAGAAGCGGCAGAGGAGAGGGCTTGACCTAGGCCTTCTGGTTTCCTGACTCCAGTCCGGGTTCCTTGGGGTTTCCCAGCTACTAGAATTCTTTGGGGTTTTCTTCATTTCATCTCTGGTTTCGAGCCATGTCAGCAAGCTTGAGGTGTCTTTGCTTTCTCTGCCCTTTGCTTTGACTATTGACAAACAGCGAATACTGGGTAGGCGCTTAGAAGATGCTTCCCAGGTAATGCTCTATCAGATCCATTGGCGGCTTTTCTTAGTCTTTGTTCAACTATTTATTTGTTTGTTTGTTTGTTTGTTTTGTATGTGTGCATGCACATGTGGAAGTCTGAAGACAACTTGTAGGAGCTGGTTTTTTTTTTTTTTGTTGTTGTTGTTGTTTGTTTGTTTTTGTTTTTTTCCTTCCAGCATGGGAGTTCAAGGGATCAAACTCAGGCTTAGCTGAAAATGCCATTACTCAGTGAGCCACCTCACTGGCCCCATGCCTTGCGTTTACTCTCTTGATAGTGTAATTCCAACAAAAACCTTCCTTCCATGGCTTTTACTGCGTCTTTTCTTTTCATAGATGATGTCTTTGTTGTGTCTAAGCAATCTTTTTCAGACTTAATGTCGATTAGATCTCTCTTCTGTTCTCTCCTGTGTTTGTATGGCATTATGTTTACATCTTGATCTTCGCTCCATCTTGAGTTAAGTTTTCATGAAGGGTGTAAACTTTATTTTTCGGGTTTATTTTTTTTGCAAATGTAGATCCAGCTTTTTTTTTTTTTTTTTGCAAATGTAGATCCAGAATCGTTAATTGTAAAGATCTCCCGCCCCATTGTGTTGCTTTTGATAGTTTGTCAAAGATGTTGACTGTATTTATATGGGTCACTTGTGGGATTTCTATTGTGTTGTTAATCTACCATTACCGCTGCTTTTATTATTATTCTTTGATCAATGCTGCATTGTCTTTGTTCTTTTTCAATAATATGTTGCCTCTTCTGCCTCCGGTGCATCTCCAAATAAAGTTCAGAATTCAGTTTGTTGATACTGATCAATCAGTGTACTGAGATCTTGACGGAGGTTGCATCGACTCCAGATCAGTCTAGAAGCGCTAATAACTTGTCATTACTGAGAGGTCCTGTCTTTACACACAAACTCGTTCTCCATTTACTTAATACTTTTTTGATATTTTTCATCACAGTTTTTGCAATTTTCCATGTTGAGATTGCACATATTTTTATTTAAATTACATTTACTTATTCAGTGTGTGTGTGTGTATGTGTGTGCGCGTGCGCGCGCATGTGCACGCTACCGTGTGTGTGGGGACTAGAGGACAACTGCTGGAAGCTGATTCTCTCTTTGCACTATGTGGCATCCAGGCATCAGTCTTGGTGCCTTTTACCTGCAGACCCATTTCTCTGCCCTGTATTTTCTTATCTTTAATACTTATATTACATAGTGTTTGGTGATAATACAAATATAATTCTGTAAAAAGTAAATTATTGTTTTATGTGTATGGTTGTTTCGCCTCTATGTATTTCTGTGTGCCATAGGTGTGTCTGGTGCCTGTGGGTATCAGGAGAGGGCATTGCGTCCAGGGGTTGGAGTTACAGATGGCTGTGAGCAGTCGTGTAGACATGGGCGCTGCGCCTCTGGAAGAGCAGCCAGTGTTCTTGACCACTGAGCCCTCTCTTCAGCCTGTGCTTTTAATTTTGAATTCAACTCTTCTATGAGAAAACTCAGCACTGGGGTGCCATCTGGCTCAAACCTGTGCAAGGTCTGGGCACGCTGCTATGGTTCTTGTGAGCTTGTACGTGTGTCAGTCCTGTTGTGTTAGCTGTCCCTCCCTGTGGTCTCTCTCTTAGCCTCATTTTTCCTCCCCTCTTTTTGTTTAATGTGTATTAACCTTACACCCTGTAAACATGCTCAGAATATTAGTTCCCGGAGGCAGTTTGGTAATTCATTCAAACTTTCTAATAGGTGATCACGTTATCTGAAAACAAAGGCTCTTTCTTCCCTTCTTCTTCTCTGTTGTACAGTTTAGTTGTGATTTTTTTTCTCATTGCTATAGCTGTATCTTCAAGAGTTTTGCTGAAACATAGAAGCAAGAAGAGATATCTTGTCTTATTCTTTGTCTTTGTAAAAAGATTTGAATTTCTTACCATTCATTTCATCTCTTTTACTTAGGAAAACTTTATTTTATAGAAGTAAATACACATATTTATACATACATGTACAATACATGTATGTATGTATATATATAAATCCGCAACAAAAGGTGCTATAAAACGTGGAATGTTCCACACATTTTTGCGTCATTCTTGCACAGGACCCATGCTAACCTTTTCCATGTTGCTTCAGTTTTAACATGTGCAGCAAATATTATTGAGCATTCGGTCTCCACCAAGTGATGCTTTACATGTAGGGAGATAATTAACCTTTCAGCAGTCCGGGAGCTTAATTTCCAGAGAGAGAAGTTGTGAAAGGCAGTATGGTCCATATTTTCTTGCTAGGTCAGAGATCACGGAGCACCACAGTCTGGGAGGCTTAGGCAACAGCATCCACAGTGTTCTGGAGCCGAGAACAGTACCAAGGTGTTCGCAGATGCATTAGTTAGTGTTCTAGTTACTGTGGCAAAATGCCTGACAAAAGGAACAAGGAAGGAGAGGTTTATGTGGCTCACAGTTCTAGGATTCAGTCCGTCACGGGCAGGACGTCATGGCAGTAGGAGTGGCAGGCGTGTGAGGCGACTCTCAGAAAGACAAGTACTGGTGCTCGGCTTTTTCCTTTTTATTCCTCTCGGCACCCCCGTCTACAGAATGTGTCCCCCATGTGTAGTGTGGACCTTTCCACCTCAGTTAACCCAATCTAGAAACGCTTTCACAGACATGCCCAGAGGTTTATCTCCTTGAGGATTCTAGGTCCTCTGATGTTGACAATCAATATTAACCATTACGACAGGGCTGTCTTCTTTGAGACCTCTCTGCTTGGGTGATAGCTGGTCATCTTGTGCCTTCACAACGCCAAATCATCCCTTTGTCTCTACTTATGTCCAAGTCTTTTCTTGTTGGCTTAGAATCCATCCCAGTATTTCCATGTTTTTGCTCACTACTTCAAGAAGTCTATATTGCATTCTGAGGTACTAGGGTGTTAGCCTAGACATGTCCAGAGGGATACAATTCAGCCATTGTTTAGCATGAAGTTAAAAAGTGCGTATAGCCTGTGTTGGTTGTTTACCCTTGATTCCTCTGTCTGTAGCAAAAGAGTGGCTTTGGTTAACAGAGTGACCCAATGGGGACACTGAGTTCTCTCTCTGTGAAATTACATGGGCTACCTGGTGATTAGAATTATGGCCTAGACATCATGAAAACGACGCCCTAGCGCCTGAAGCGGTGGCTCAGTAATTAAGAACACATATTGCTCCTGCAGAAGGCCCAACTTCGGCTTCCAGGGCCTTCGTTGGATGACTCTAACTCCATGTCAGCTCTAGTTCCAGGAGATATGCTGCCCTCCTCTGGACTCTGCATACACCTACACTTAATATGCATGCAACCACACACATGCACATAAATATTAACTTAAAAATAAAGCAAATCTTTAAAGAATGATGTTCTAAACACACCCAGGCCTTGTTTGTATGTTTAGTAACACAGCTTGCTGGTGATAAGTGAATTATTCCTGGGTACAACAGCTCAGAAAAATCTGCAGCCATTCCTTGCAGAAGCACTAAAGCTGTTTCTCTCCCCCCTTTAATCACCCCTTATTTTGCTGATAAGGTTCCAGTGTGAGCAGTTCCTGCTGTTTTATGTATTCTGTTGCCACGTGGCTCATTGGTTTCTCTTCATCTAAGCTTCTATGATTTTACTGAACAAATCACTTTTCTGTGTCATAACAACAGCTTCCTGAGATATGCATCTGAATCCAACAGCATTGACACGCCAGGCATGAACCCAAGCGTGGCCCCAGCGAATCAGACTCCTTTCTGTGCTGTATTAGACTGGCGTTTTGAAATAAGGTAAAGGTTCTGTGATGCTCTATTTCAACTGTCAGCTTGGTAAGTCACCTGTAAGACACACCTCGAGGCATATCTTTAGGCTATATATTGGTTAGGTTAACTGAGGTAGGGAGACTCCCCAAATGTGGGTCACACCGTTCCATGGGCTCAGTTCTCAACTGAATTAAAAAGGGGAGGCAAGCTGAGTATCAGCATTCGTTTCTCTCTGCTTCCTGCCTGTGAGTGCAGCCTGGCCACTGTAACTCCATGGCTCTCTTCTGGCCTCTGTGGGCATCTGCACTCATCTGCACTACGCATACACAGACACATGCAACATACACAACTCAAATAAAAACCAACCCTTACAAAAGGAGAAAGGATTCAGATGCATATCTCAGGAAGCCGTTGGGCTGACCCGAGCCATTATGAGGGAGCAAGGAATGATTTTCATTTGTGATTTCTGTGCCCCTTTTCTTTTCTGATTTAGAAACCATTATGGGAACTTCTGTGTTCATTGACTGGTTCCTGAAGCAGTGTTAATCCACTAACGGAAAGTCTGTTAGCTTCTAGGAGCTAGGTTTATAAGTGAACCCTTTTTTCAAAAAAGCCTGCATTAGTCTGGAAACTTCTGGAAGCAAATGCCAATACAGAATTAAGTATGCAAGGGTCTTACTTCAGCCCCACAAGCCTGCAGGGAGGCCTTCTCAAGAAGCAAAAGTTAACAAATAACAAAAGCACCCTCTTCTCTCTAGCCATTGAGAGTCCAATAACCCTAGGTGTACCTGCCCAGTCTTTTCTAACAATTGCTTAAGGATTCCCAAGTCCTGCTGGCTTATTTATTCATGGTCAAATGACTTTAAGTTAGTTTATAAGCGACAGGCTTCCCTGTTACAGTTTCACACACAAATGCCATTTTACCCCCTTCTTATATGTCTCCCACTGCCTACTCCACGGTTTCTTCCCTCCTTCTTCCTGAAAACAGTCCTTCCCTTCATGTCACATACATCCCGTCACTCTCTCTTGATTCCCTTCCCTTCAAACCTCTTCCTCTACCCAAGTCTCCTTTTTCCCTTTATGCCATGCATTGCAGTAAATATTTGCCCTCTTGAATCTGGATTATTTCACATAACATGTCCTCCATTTTCATCCACTTTTCTGCAAGTTTCATCATTTCATTCTTTATTACAGCCAAATAAGATTTCATTGCATATATGTACCATGGTTTCTTTACCTGTTCATCTGTTGATAGACATTCAGTCTGGTTCCATATCTCAGCTACTGCGAATAGTGGAGAAGATGTGCAAGTATCTCTGTGCTGTGCTATCTTAGACACTTGTTTATTCTCTCTCTCTTGCATTCTCCCCCTCTCTCTCTTTCTGGTCTTTCAAGACAGAGTTTCTTTGTGTAACTCTGGCTGTCCTGGAACTCACTCTGTGGACCAGGCTGGCCTCAAACTTACAGAGATCTGCCTGTCTCTGCCTCCTAAGTGCTGTAATTCAAGGCATGTGCCACCATTGTCTGGCTTTGTTTCTCTTTTTTATTTAAAATATTTTCATACAATATATTTTGATCATGTTTCTCCTCTTCCACAACTCCTCCCAGATCTTACCTCCTTACTCACCCAACTTTGCACTCTCTCTCTCCCTCCCTCAAACATCCCCCCTAACTCAAATCCAAACACCTTAAACACAATACAAAATAACGCCAAATAACATACTAAAATCTGTACACCTAAAGAAACTAATCAAGATGCTCAATCCCCATTCAGAAGGGCAAAGAGGATGGACATCAGAAGAGGGAGAAAACAGGGAACAGGACAGGAACCTGCCACAGAGGGCTTCTGAAAGGATTTACCCTGCAGGGTATCAAAGCAGATGCTGAGACTTATGGCCAACCTTTGGGCAGAGTTCAGGGAATCTTATGAAAGAAGTAGGAGATAGTAAGATAAGGAGAGCAACAGAACCAAAAAATCTGGGCCCAGGGGTCTTTTCTGAGACTGATACTCCCACCAAGGGCTATGCATGGAGATAACCTAGACCCCTGCTCAGATGTAGCCCATGGCAGCTTAGTGCACAAGTGGGTCCCATAGTAATGGGGACAGGGACTGTCTCTGACATGAACTGATTGGCCTCCCTTGAGGGGGGAGCAGCCTTACCAGTCTACAGAGGAAGACAATGCAGCCACTTCTGATGAGACCTGATAGATTAGGATCAGAAGAAAGGGGAGGAAGACCTCCGCTATCAGTGGACTGGAGGAGGGCATGGGTGGAGAAGAATGAGGGTAGGTCGGGTTGGGAGGGGGGAAGGAGGAAGCTACAGGGGGGTACAAAGTGAATAAATTGTAATTAATAAAAATAAAAATTAAAAAAGATTAAATTAAAAAATGCACATACATACACTCACACACCCACACTCACACACCCACACACAGACACACAGACACACACACACACAGAGACACACACACACAGACACACACAGACACACACATACACACACACACAGACACACACACACACACACACACACACACACACCATGGAGTTTGTGTTGGACAACTACTCCTTGGAATGAGGCCTGTCTTGGGTGTGGTTGGTATACCCAGAGATACTCCATTGGAGAAACGGATTTTCCCTTTGCAGCCAGGTATCAACTGCAAATAGCTTCTTGGTTAGGAGTAGGACTCTGTGTCCATTTCCCCTCCTGGTGCTGGGCTCCTGTCTGGCTTGAATCTGTGCAGGCCCTGGGCATGCTGCCACAGTCTTTGTGAGTTCATAGGTGGATCAGTCCTGTTGTATCTGGAAGACACCATTTTCCTTGAATCAGCCATTTCCCCTCCCCCTTCTCTTAAATCTCTCAGCTTCCTATTACGAATAGATTCCTGAACCCTGAGAGGAGGGGTTTGGTGAAGACATCGCACTCAGAACTCAGGGCTCCAAAGTCCCTCTCTGCACATTGTCCAGCTGTGGGTCTCCATGTTGGTTCCCATCTATTGCAAGAGGAAACTTCTCTGATGAGGCACTGATCCCCTATCAATGTGTAACTGGTAAAGATCTTACACTTATTAATACATGCCCCGGAATGGCATGAATGGGCCACATGGAAGCTCTGCTTCCAGTTTTTGAGAAACCTTATACTAGTTTCTGTAACAGAAGTTTTGGGTTCTTTGTAAACTCAGTTATGTTATGTCAATATGTTTTTCTTTTAATCCCAAGTGGGGGATTTTAGTTGGGCTTTAGCTTGCCAACAGCTGATAACTGTCTCATGCAGAGCACGGTTTAGGGCTCTGAGGATGTAAATATGAGAGCCCAGCACGAGAAAGTGTGGTGCATGTGGTGATGGAGTGTGGCCAGTGGCAGTCTGGAGACCAGAGATGGACAGTGTGGCAGTCTGGAGAC